AAAAAAAAAAAAAAAAGTCAAGAAGGGAGAGGGTTGACATGTCATGGGGTTGTTAACCAACATCATAAAACAATATGTGCACTGACTGTTCAATGAGAAACTATTTGTTCTATAAACCTTCACCTAAAGTACAATAATAATAAAAAAAACTGTAAAAAAAATTTTTGGAGATAAAAACTTAACCTTTTAAAGTGTACAATTAAATGTTTTTTAGTATAGTCACAGTGCTGTGCAATCATCCCCACTCTGTAATTCCAGAATATTTTCATCACCTCAAAAGGAAACTCCGTATCCATTAGCATTCACTCCCCATTCTCCTCTCCTTCCCCCAGCCCTACCCCCCCACCCCCCAGCCCTATCCCCCAACCCCCCAGCCCTATCCCCCAACCCCCCAGCTCCTGGCAACCTCTGCTCTACTTTCTGCTGCTAGGGATTTGCCTGTTGTGGACATTTCACATTGCTATTAATCTTGTAAAAGCAGATATTAGAGAATGGCTAATAGAGAGTGCTAAAGGAGCAGGAGTAGGACTAAAAATTCAAGTTCTTAAAAGCACAGTCACACACGGTTAAGCTGAAAAGGAATTACTGAAAACGATCGATTCTCAGACCACTACACAATATTCGTTTGTTATTAGGTTTCTGTATCGTAACTGAGAACTTCAACAATGAAAAGGGATAATGCTGCCCCCTAACCCCAATTTTCTCAGGGAAGGGAAGGCAGCCCACATGACTACATGCCAGGCACCATACTATGTGCTTTACCTATGTTATCTCAATTTTATCCTCATAAGAGCCTTCAAGTTTAGTAATATCTCAAAGATCATAGAGCTAGTAAGTGGAGGAGTCAGGATTCAAAACCAGCTCTATCTGATTACAAAGCCAGAGTTCTGTCCACTATACCATACTGGCAAAAAAGGAAGTCGAGGGCAAAAGCAATTCAAACCTGAGGGGATAGGAGCTAAAACTGAGTAGAAAAAGGTTACCCCTGTGAGGGAAAAAAGGAACGCTGGAGGGGAGGGGGGTTCTAAATTTAACAATTGCACAGAAGGGAAAAATCAAATCACTTTGCATTTCCAAAGTCACCAAGGAGGTTATATCTGTTTAAGTCCACAGTGATATTGAAGTCAGATTCACTGTTTACTTCTGCTGGCTCCTTTTTCAGTCCTTCCTAAGACTGAGACAAAGTAAATGTAGATTAAACAAATTAATTGGGCCTTTAGAAAATTAATGAATTAAAACATCAGCCCCCATTTCTACCCACATGCACATAAAAGAACTAGATTTAGCTTAACAAAACAAAACAAATACACAGTGCCCTTATTTGTCTTGTTTAGCTAAATACCAGTTATATTTGAATTTTTTAGTATAAGCATGTCCCAGGTATTTTATCTGGAAACTCTAAAAGGAAGCCTTCTCCGATTACAGGAATAATAAGGACAATTGAGTTTCCTAAAATTTTAAGATCTAGAATTTACTTCAGCTATGCCAAAGTCAAAATATTTCTGTAAATAATTTAAAATCTAAATCTAAAATTAATATTATAAAGGCATAATATTTGGTAAGGAGCAATAGCACTGTGTGTATGAGAAAAAAATCAAATTATCTTAGAATGTCAAAACATTTTGTCCATTTCATATAGGGCACTGTTTGTATTCAATTAAATCACTGCCACAAAAACAGTCCCCATTGGGGCTGGCATGGTTGAGAACTGAACTAAATCTATGAAATTATATAATTGATCAAGTTGTCACAAACATAAATTAGACTGAAGAAGACTGGAAATTCATTAAGGGTAAATTACTTGAAAGAAGTCATCAAAATATTCAGCATCAGCATGAAACCAAACTTCAACTACAGAACTCCTGTCTAAACATCTCGTTTCTTCCAAAGTGGAAAAGCAGGTACTTACTATCCTTGCTCAGGATCTTGTCCATTCAACATGGTGAACAGAAATTGCCTTCGACCTTTTTGCTCCAGTGGGTCCAGGTCTATCACTGTGTAAAGCAAAAGCAAAAAAAAAAAAAAAAAAGTCATATGCAGTTGCTGTTTGGGCACTAAGACTCTCATAGCAGTAAAACAGTGATAAAAGCAGAAGTTGGCAAACTATGGCCCACAGGCTGTCCCCGTTTTTGTAAATAAAGTTTTATTGGAACACAGCCACGTCCATTTATTTACATTGTGTATGGATGTTTTCAAGCTACACTGGCAGAGCTGAGTGGTTGTGACAGAGACTGTATGGCCCATAAAGCTTAAAATATGTACTATCTGGCCTTTTGAGAAAAAGTTGGTTGTTCCTTATAAACTGTATGTAAAGCAATTATGCTACATGCTAAAATAAATGTCTCCTACCACTCCACAGCTGGAAGAATTCTGAGGAGGCTGACATTTTGGGCCACCTGGAGATTTGGGTTTGTGGCAGGTTCAATTCACTTATCTCAACATCCATTCTCCCTTACCTCCTCATTTTTATATGGGAATATTGCAGCTCAAATAAATTAGCCTATATTTCGCAGCCTCCTTTTTAGCTAGAAATGGCCAAGTGATTAAGCTCTGGCCATTGTGTTGTGTGAAACCTTTGGGAAAACTGCTTAAAAGGCTCAGCTGAGAGGTATTCTTCAATTCCCCAGCAGCCATCAAGGTCCATAGGTAACCAAAAGGTTGGAAGGCAGGTGCTTAGATGATGGGGATCCCTAGATAGCACAAATGCTTAAGAGCTGGACTTCTAAGTGAAAGGTTGACAGTTAAACCTACCCAGAGACATCTCAAAAGTAAGGCCTGGCAATCTGCTTCAGAAAAGTCACAGCCTAAAAACCCTCAGGAGTGCAGTTCTACTCTGCACACATGGAGTCACCATGAGTCAGATTTACTCGATGGCAACTAACAACAATAACAACAACAAGATGATAAAAAGAAATACAGAAGTTTTGGATCCCTGATGGTATCATGTAGTGGCCATGATAGCCCTGGACTTTGAACTTGTTTAACATGAATGAGAAGTAAACTTCTATCTTGTCTGATATAATATAATATAAATATACAAATATATAATATATATATAAATATAATAATATAAACGAGATATACTGGGAAAAAAAAAGAAATCGAGAACAAAAAAGAGCCCTTAGAAATTAAAAATAAATGTTTAATAGATGGCTGGAAGATAAAATTAACGAAATCTCCCAAAAAGAAAAAAAGACAGGTGGAATTATAGGATGAAAATTATAAGAAAATTAGAGGATCAATTTGGAAGACCCAACATTCTACTAAGAAAAAGAGAAAATGTTGGGGAGAAAATTATCAAGGAAATAAAATTTCCCAGAACAAAAAGCCATAAGCTTCCACACTGAAAGAGCCTACTGAATGGCCAGAACAATTAAAAGAAAAATATGCACTGAAATTTGAGAACACTAGAAATAACGAGAAAATCTTTATCTTCTAAGAATTGAGGATAGGCGGGGCGTGCTAGTTTTCATACAAAAGGTAAGACTTTTCACCTGTATCTAGATCATAGATCAATTGCATTGAAGTTCTGAGTGAAAATGTTTTCAGCCTAGATTTGTTTGGTCAAAAAGTCAGTCGAATGTGATGGTGGAATAAAGAGACTTCATGTGTGAATATTTACTTCCCATGTAGCCTTTCTTAAGAAGTTGCTAGAAAATGTGATTCATTATGTTGTTGTTAGGTGCCCTTGAGTCAGTTCTGACAAATAGTGACCCTATATACAACAGAAAGAAACACTGCCCAGTCCTGTGCCATCCTCACAATCGTTGCTATGTTTGAGCCCATTATTGCAGCCACTGTGTCAATCCATCTTGTTGAGGGTTTTCTTCTTTTTTGCCGACCTTCTACTTTACCAAGCATGATGTCCTTCTCCAGGGACTGTCCCCTCCTGACAGCAAGTTCAAAGTACGTGGGACGAAGTCTCACCATCCTTGCTTCTAAGGGAATCCTGGCTGTACTTCTTCCAAGACAGATTTGGCATTCTGACACTCCATAGTATATTCAATATTTTTCGCCAACACAATAATTCAGATGTATCAATTCTGCTTCAGTCTTCCTTATTCATTGCCCAGCTTTCGTATGCATATGAGGCGATTGAAAATTGCATGGCTTGGGTCAGGCGCACTTTAGTCCTCGAAGTCACATCTTTACTATTCAACACTTTAAAGAGGTATTTTGCAGCAGATTTGCCCAATGCAATGCATGGTTTGATTTCTTGACTGCTGCTTCCATGGGCGTTGGTTGTGGATCCAAGTAAAATGAAATCCTTGACAACTTCAATATTTTCTCCCTTTATCATGATGTTGGTTATTGGTCTAGTTATGTGGATTTTTGTTTTCTTTATGTTGAGGTATGATCCATGCTGAAGAATGCAGTCTTGACCTTCATCAGTACTGTATATTTTGCAAATAACATACCCATAAATAACATGCCCACACATATAACGTGCATAGAGTACCTAGGAAAATAATGTGCAAGGGGGATGCCCAGTTGACAAAAATGTATAACACCCATGTTATTTGTGCAAAAATATGGTAAGTGCCTCAAGTCCTCTTCACTTTCAGCAAGCAAGATTGTGTCATCTGCATATCAAAGGTTGTTAATAAGTCTTCCTCCAATCCTAATGCCAAATTCTTTTTCATATAGTCTAGCTTCTCAGATTATTTCCTCAGCATACAGGTCAAATAAATATGGTGAAAGAATACAACCCTGACACACACCTTTCCTGATTTTAAACCACGCAGTAACCCCTTGTTCTGTTTGAACGACTGCCTCTTGATCTATGTACAGGTTCCTCAGGAGCACAATTAAGTGTTCTGGAATTCCCATTCTTTGCAATGTTATCCATAATTTGTTATGATCCACACATTTATGCATTTACATAGTCAATACAACACAGGTAAGCATCTTTCTGGTATTCTCTGTTTTCAGCCAACATCCATCTGACATCAGCAATGATATCTCTCATTCCACCTCTTCTTCTGAATCTGGCTTGAATTTCTGTCAGTTCCCTGTTGATGTACTGCTGCAAACTGTTTTACTTGTGTGTGATATTCATGATACTGTTTGATAATTTCTGAATTTTGTTGGATCACCTTTCTTTGGAATGGGCACAAATATGGATCTCTTCTGGTCAGTTGGCCAGTAGCTATCTTCCAAATTTCTTGGCATAGACGAGTGAGCACTTCCAGCGTTGCATCCCTTTGTTGAAACATCTCAATTGGTATTCTGTCAATTCCTGGAGGCTTGTTTTTCACCAGTGCCTTCAGTGCAACTTAGACTTTTTCCTTCAGTACCGTCGGTTCTTGATGATATGCTAGCTCCTGAAGTTGTTGAATATCGACTAATTCTTTTTGGTATAGTGACTGTGTATTTATTCCATCTTCTTCTGATGCTTCCTGCATCATTCACTATTTTGTCCATGGAATCTTCAATATTGCAACTCAAGGCTTGATTTTTTTCTTCAGTTCTTTCAGCTTGAGAAATGCTGCGTATGTTCTTTCCTTTTAGTCTTCTAACTCCAGGTGTTTGCACATTTCATTTTAATACTTTACTTTGTCTTCTTGAGCCACCCTTTCTGTTCAGCTCTTTTCACTTCATCATTTCTTCCATTTGTTTTAGCTACTTACTGTACGTTCAAGAGTAAGTTTCAGAGTCTCTTTTGACATCTGTTTTGGTCTTTTCTTTCTTTCCTGTCTTTTTAAAGACCTTTTGATTTCTTCATGTATGATGTCCTTGATGTCATCCCACAACTCGCCTGGTTTTCAGTCATTAGTGTTCAAAGAGTGAAATCTACTCTTGAGATGCTCTCTAAATTCAGGTGGGATATACTCAAGATCATACTTTGGCTCTTGTGGACTTGTTTCAATTTTCTTCATCTTCAGCTTGAACTTACATATGGGCAATTGATGGTCTGTTTCGCAGTAGGGCCCTTGGCCTTGTTCTCACTGATGAGATTGAGCTTCTCCATCGTGTCTTTCCACAGAAGTAGTTGATTTGATTCCTGTGTATTCCATCTGGTGAGGTCCATGTGTACAGTCACCGATTATGTTGTTGGGAGAAAAAGTACTTCCAATGAATAAATAGGTCGTTGGTCTTGCAAAATTCTATCATGTGATCTCCCGCATTGTTTTTATCACCAATGCCATATTTTCCAACTACCAATCCTTCCTCTTTGTTTCCAACTTTTGCTTTCCAATTACCAGTAATTATCACTGCATCTTAAAGGCATGTTTGATCAATTTCAGACTGCAGAAGTTGGTAAAAAATCTTCAATTTCTTCATTTTTGGCATTAGTGGTTAGTATGTAGATTTGAATAATAGTCATATTAACTGGTCTTCCTTGTAGGTGTATGGATATTATCCTATCACTGACTGCGTTGTACTTCAGGATAGATCTTGAAATATTCTTTTTGACAATTAATGTAATGCCATTCCTCTTCGTTTTGTCATTCCCAGCATAGTAGACCATAGATTGTCCAATTCAAAATGGTGAATACCAGTCCATTTCAGCCCACTAATACCTAAGATATCTATCTTCAAGCGTTCCAAATCAGTTTTGACGACTTCCAATTTTCCTAGATTCATACTTTGTACTTGCACATTCTGATTATTAATGGATGTTTGCAGCTGTTTCTTCTCATTTTGAGTTGTGCCATACTGGCAAATGAAAGTTCCGAAAGCCTTACCCCATCCACGTTATTAAGGTTGACTCTACTTTGAGGAGGCAGCTCTTCCCCAGTCTTATTTTAAGTGCCTTCTAACCTGAGGGCTCATCTTCTGGCACTATAGCAGATGATGTTCTGCTGCTATTCATAAGGTGTTCCCTGGCCAATTTTTTCAGAAATAGACTGCCAGGTCCTTCTTCCTAGTCTGTCTTAGTCTGGAAGCTCCTCTGAAACCTGTCCACAAAGGGTGACCCTGCTGGTATTTGAAATACCGGTGGCATAGCTTCTAGCATCACAGCAACGTGCAAGCCACCACAGTACAACAAACCGACAGATGAGTGCTGGATGATCCATTACAATAAGGAAATTAATGAAGACAGAGCTTGTTACAGGATCTAGGAGACAGGAAAGCCAGTATAGAAGAGAATTAAATCAAATTCTTGGGATGGCAGCAGTGGGATAAAACCTAAACAATGGGCTAGAGGAGAACAAGAGGATGGAGAGAATTCCTCCAGAAAAAAAAAAAGGATAAATGCGTAAATTATTTAATAGGTTTGATTACTTGAGGCTGTTAGAGAATGTGAAAAGAATTATCAATACATATAATGAAAATAAAGCAAATGAAAAATTGAGGCAAACAAAATAGTAAACAAGGAAAAAATATAGTCATGGTCATACTACTTGGCTCTGCAATACTTAATATTTACATATTCATAATAATGTAAACAAAATTGGTTTAAATAAAAATTATGATCAAACTATATGGGAGGGAAGGAACATGGGTGTGGTGAAAGAGATCTAAATTTATGTTCCAGGATAGGAAGCCAGTGGACAATGTCTAAAATTGAAGCATTAGGAAATCTCAATAGAAACATTATTTAGAAATATGGAGGTAAATATCAGAAATAGCTGAAAAAGTTAAAAGTGGTTGTGGTGGACTGCGGTGGGGGTTGGTTTGTGGAGAAGGCTGGGGTAAAGGACTGATTATTTTTAATTAAAATCTTTTTTGGCCTATTTGATTTTGTAAAACCATATGCATATAGGATATTTGATAAATAAAATAAAATGATTGAATTAACCCCGTAAGAAGTCCAGTGCTAGTTCTGATCGGTCATTCTAAGCATTTGTCAGCATCCTCTTCCCATAACCACACACAGTGCCTCACCCTTGCTAAAATGGAAGTGAATCTCTTCTCCTGCCCTCGGCTTCCTCAGGGATACTGGAGTCTCTGTCTCCAACAAGGGTAGATCATAGAATTTGTACTCCACGTACACCTGTTTTATATTCTCATCAGACATCACTTCAGCCTCTGGGTGGAAGGCCAGGGAGACAATTTCAATGCACATCTTCTCTGAATCCTGATAAGAAAAATATTTATTTCCTAAAGGTTAGTGATGCTCCAAGCATTGTACTCCATCTAATTAACACATTACGCTCTAGAAATCAGTCATAGGCACCCTCCGTCCAACATATTACTCTTTGAGAATCAATTATAGGTAAAACTGGCACCAAGAGGCAAGTTGACTGAATTGCCACAGCTCATCTGGGGAAAATTTGTAAAGAGAACCCAGTTGTTCTATTTCCCAGTCCAGTGAATCATGCCAGCCCAGCCTTTCCCAGCCATCTCCACATACAAAACAATCAAGAAAATTTCTCAACAGATATCTTTTCTTAAGCTCTCTCAATGAAAACCAAGCCGTATTTCCCCAAAGTTAGGACTTAAGAGACCTATACATTGATAACGAAGATTTAGTAGCTGCTTTGGCCACTAGGGAAGCCCTCATGGCGCAGTGGTTAAGAGCTTTGGCTGTTAACCATAAAGGTCAGCATTCTGAATCCACCAGGTGCTCCTTGGAAACCCTATGGGGCAGTTCTACTCTGTCCTATAGGGTCACTGTGAGTCGGAATCGACTCAACGGCAAAGGGTTTTGGTTTTGGTTAGCCACTATAGCAAATAACTGCTTCTTGGGTGCACCTAAGTACAGGCCATCAGAGTATCCCACCCTCCACAGCAACTCCAGTACTTTCATTTCTGCTTCAGAGTAGCTGCCACACCACTACTCACTCTCTTGATTGTCCCTGTGTCCACTTTGGCATTAGGGCTACCAGGAGGAGACTGACATCTCTCTAGCTTCAAGAAGTCAAATGAGCTCAACATAAGTCCCCTCTTTCCATAGTGGGGCAGCAAGTCAATGTCATGACACTACTAATGAGTCAACCCAGGATGGCTCCCTATTCCCTTCCATCTCTAAGTGCCCACCAGGCTGCTTCTTTTCTCTGGGTTGCCAGGTCAATGCTTGCTACTTCTCTTAAGGCCTGCCCTTCCCCCCTCCCCAATCTCTTCTTCCCTTAGGAAGCAAGTTGAGCTCTTGGGCCTTCTCCTAGGAAGCTTAGCAGGCATGATTTCTCATAGTCCTGGGGTCAACTGCATCAGAATCTTCCGGGGTTGCCTTTTAAAAGGAAGATGATACTACTTGGGGTTTTCCTCTCAAAACCCTTCCACAAGACCCACTGCATACACTATTGACTCTATACAGTGTTTTCCAAAATGTGGGCTTTCACTCTTTGATGGATCAGTTCAGTGGGTTTCACTAACATTTTCTAAAAACGAAACAATAGAACAGAAGAAAATAGAAAACATGAGAATGCACAGCAACTGGTAAGGGTAAGCATTGCTTCTTTTTTTTTTTTTAATTTAGAAGTTTTATTTTAATTATTCACAGATCATTTTAACTGATACAATTTAAAAGGAAGGCTACTTTACCTGACTTTAAAAGGTTATATATGTAACTATCTATAAACAATATTAATAACTTACTGACACTATGTACAGTAAAACCTGTGAAAACCGGACCCTGTGTAAGGCAGAAACCTGTCAGAGAAGGAAAATGCAAATATTTTCTACTAAAAGGAGAGATAGAAAATTGTTAAGACGGTACCCTGTCAAAGGAGAAAAACTTGTGAGACCCAGAAAAACAAGGCAGTCCCACTGAGTTCTAGCTCTCTCAGGTTTCACTTATCTTTTTTTATGGGGGGAGGGCTGACAAAAATCTGTATTATTTATTTATTTATTAAAATAATATTTTATTGTGTTTTCAGTCAAAGTTTACACAGCAAATTAGGTTTCCATTTAACAATTACTACACAAATTGTTTAGAGAGATGTATTCCAAAATTCAAAACAATGGTTTTCTTGGCAAAGAGAGAGCACAGATTGTGGGTGCTGGTCAAAGGAGAATTAATTTTATCTGTAATATTCTAATTTTTTAAAGAAAAATGTATTCCTATCTTGCTTGTGGAACTCTGGTGGCGTAGTGATTAAGAGCTATGGCTGCTAACCAAAAGGTCGGCAGTTCAAATCCACCAGCCACTCCTTGGAAACCCTATTGGGCAGTTCTACTCTGTCCTATAGGGTCACTATGAGTCAGAATTGACTTGACGGCAATGGATTGGTTTCGGTTTGGATCTTACTTGTGTTAATTTTTGGAAATTTTAAACAAGCCAATTATCCTGGGCCAAATATCAGAAATCCATAATTATGCAGACTGTATCAATTTTATTCTGACAACAAAGGTTAATTAGCAGGATCCATGCTTGATAAATAAGATTCAAATTTGAGCCAGGTGCACATGGAGGCTTTATTCATACCCTGTCTGCAGGGTCGCTACGAGTTGGAATTGACTTGATGGCAAAGGGTATGACAGAGTAGAACTGCCCCATAGGGTTTCCAAGGAGCAGCTGGTGGATTAGAACTGCTGACCTTTTAGATAGCAGCCAAACTCTTAACCACTTCACCACCAGGGCTCCCCCTTCTTACAAAAGACAAAAAAACCAAACCCATTGCCATCGAGTCTATTCTGACTCTTAGCAACCCTATAGGACAGGGTAGAACGGCTCTATAGGATTGCCAAGAAGCAGCTGGTGGATTGAAACTGCCAACCTTTTGGTTAGCGGCCTGAGCTCTTAACCACTGCACCATCAGGGCTCCTATGAAATCGTATTTAGGAGCCTTTAATTTAGGACAATATATATATATATTTTTTGTACTTCAGGTGAAGGCTTACAGAACAAATAGTTTCTCATGAAACAGTAGTACACATATTGTTTTATGACATTGGTTAACAACCCCACAACAC